CTGTTTTTTTTGTACGAACATCGATATAGGGTCCTAGGCTGTACTTAGAAGATTCTAGGCTATATCTGACGGGTCCCACGGGCAATTGGTGTCCCTCGGGCCAGAGGCCCTCGGGACACAAACTTTGCCCTGGGGTATTAACACCCTCATAATTCCCTTGATACATAAATAACTATCAATAAAGAAAGCCAGATACATTATTGTACCTAATTAGTTGTTTTATTGATAAGCTCTCCAATTGCACAGGTTTTGTTTATGACATCATTAAGTAATCTTCCTAGTTAAATCAAAATTAACTTGGTGGCGCCCAGAGATAAGATGTATACAAGGAACTCTGCTGACTAGCCGTAAGCAGTATAATTAGGCAATTGCCAAATAAGTACGTTATAAGATGACATCCAGAAACTGGCGGGTACCCAATGGATGAGTCAGACGAGACAGAAGTGAATGGCGACGAATTGGACAGGCTTATGTTCAGGGATGGACCAAAAGAAGCTAAAGATGATGATAATGATGCAGTGGATGCACCTCTTCACAAAGGGGGAGACTCAGATTCTCCAGCAAATTTCCGTCCTATTTCCCTTCTTCCTTCACTTGGTAAGCTGCTTGAGAAACTGGTCAAAATTAAAATTCTTCTATTCCTCAATCTAAACAGGTCCCCCTTCGATAATCAATTTAGCTATTAGTGTGGCAAAGGAACATCTCCCTTCTGAAAGAAATATTTTTGAGTAAAAATGAAAATTACCTTTCAGCAGCGGTGTTTTGTGACTTGTCAAAGGCTTTCGACTGTGTCGATCATTTTGTGTTGCTCCATAAGCCTGAAGTGAAGTTTCATATAGGGGCAGGTTTTCGAATAAAATGAGCAACAACTCAGGGCTTTATCCTTGGCCCCCTTTTGTTCTTGCGCTATTATATCAATGATTTAGCATCTATTAGGGTCGAGAGAAGTATTAGACTTTCCACTGACGACACGACACATCCTTTGTCAGGCATGCGAACAGTGGAAATTTCTTGGAACGCATAATTGATGTCGATTTAGACTTGATAAAAACCTGGTGCGGCAGCAACAATATATCTATAAGACCAATATGTTAAACTTCAAGTGCTCATTATCCAATATCTTCTCATGTGGTGATTTTATTCATCTCACCACCATACGTTTCTTGGAGTTACAGTGGGCGAGACTCTCAAGTGTCAACAGCATATTGCGGCACTCTCTAATAGGTTATCATCTAGCTTTTATGCTCTGAGAGTACTCTCAGAGCAGTTGGAGCTGCAAGCTCTCATCAGGACCGCATATTTTTCTCTGGTGGAGTCACACATTACTTATGGAATTGCATTTTGGGGCTCTTGCAGTACTACAAATTTCAGTTCCATATTTATTTTACATAAATGAGCCCTCAGGTTTATGTTTAGAGTTCCCTTTCGACAATCTTGCAAACCTAGCTTTATTTCTCATACAATTTTGATTATGTCATGCTTATATACATATACTCGAAAGTGTTTGCCTGATCTATAGGAAATACTATGACCAACTTTTTTCGGCAAGACACTACTCCACTGGAGCAACCTAATAATATTCTACTCCCAATTCTCAGAAGCACCTTAGTGAAGAAGTGAGTTTTACCCAAGGTTCCTAAAGTTAATAGGTTGTCTGGTAATGGGTAACCTTATGACGCATCTGGGGTGCCTTATGGAGATTTGCATTATGTTGAAGCACCCCAGATGACGTCATACAGTTACCTAGTTATCAGGCAACCTACCTCTCTTAAATAACTTTGAATTTTGCCAAGAAAGCCTTCAATTTTCTACCATTGAGCGTTAGGTCTCCACGTTCATACGGGAGGTTTAGAAAAAGGGTAAGGGAGCCACTCTTGACTAAAGCCTACTATAATATTGAAGAATTCTTTGGAGACACCTTGTGAACATATTATTTTTTACATAGGTAAAATTTTAAATTGTTCTCATAGATATTAAGGCGGTTATGGAAAAGGGTAACGAATACTCACAACCAAAATTCAGGTAAAAAAATTATATCTAGAAGTCTAGAAGAGCGTGATTGATATGGTATATGGAAAGGACTCATCAACAATTTAATATAAATGCTTGAAAATTCAAAGAATTTGAAAAACAACTAGACTTTCCAATCAATGAATCATGTTGATTATGATCTTGTCGCTGGCAAATTTTAGACATATGGGTATGGGTGCAAAGTTCAACTTTTTTATATCTACTAATGCGGCATTTATTTTCGCTGACAAAAGCTCGAGAGGAAATTTACAACACGCATTTCAAAGGTTACATACACAAAATATGCTTAATCGAGAAACTTCAAGACCCTATAATGTAACTGCTGACAAATTTACGAGTCCATTTAATTTCGTAAATGTCTGGCGTCAGTACTTCTGTTTGCGATAACACCATTAAATATTGATAATAATACCGTTAAAATGCAGTTGTTGGTAACACCAGATGTGATTTATTGCAATTTTAAAGACCCATACCTATACAGGGTGACACAAAAAAGTAGGACAAGGTACCTATAGTCTACCCAGGCTTTTACGGATTGGATTATCTTTGATTTTGACGTTGTTATAGAAAATTTCCATCGAAATTCCAGTGAATTCCATTGTATGTCCTCCAATTCTGAAATACTCTGTATATTGTTTAAGCATTTCATATTCTTTTTGAAATTAATTATAATTGAACAATAGCAGAAATCATCCTGTAAACAACATAGAGATTATGTTTCATTTACAAGCTATATTGAGTAATAAAACACCCAGTATATAAATAACGGTTTCAAAATGGCCCAACTTCAAAGCTATTAAGCTGGAACACCATTTAATAGCTCTGCTACTAACCATTTAATTTCATTAACTCCTTTCTGGTTAATTAGAACTACTTTGTTGTATGTTAATAGGCCATTAAACTCGAGTCGTTCAACTATTTAGGTTTTTCGCTTTGCTAGGAGTTTTTCGATACCTATCCATTGAATGATAATTATTGCATTAACAAAAATTGTTTAGCCTTGAACTGTTATTTGCAAATAAATAATTAATGCAACCCGGTAATGATTTCTCCACAACAAAGTTCAACGTTTTAAAATAGGGAAATTCGATATATTAAGATTGTTTTGAACCAGGAAAAAGCTATAACCCAATTTCCCTGGTGTTTTTCTCAATAAATTTTCGTGTTGACATTTTAAAAATAACTTTCTTTAAAATTTATTCAGGTCTAATACAAGGAACACTTCATGTCACTTTTAACATATAAATTTGTTAAAAAGTCCTTAAGTATGTGTTTCTAATCGGGCCGTTTGTCACCACGAAGGCAGCTGATTTGTTATTCAAATGTTGGAAACAATTCTTATTCTTGGAGATTCTATATTTATAAATAGTTTGTAAACATCATTTTAAATTTATTAACATCTTTGCCAACGTCATAACTATTAAGAGATTTTTCTATTCCCAGTCATCTTGAATTCGTGTTGTGTTGAAGACATAACAAAATTCGAACCAGCATTCTCTCGCAGTCTAAAGTTGCATAAGAAAAATGCATGTGCAATTCTAAAAATAGCAATGAGTCACGGCCTAATATGGTATTCAGCGTACATTATGGTTGGCTTTGTGCATGTATTGCTACGATTTTAAATCTGCGCAGTTGAGATTTTTAATTTACAAGAATTTTATCGCCCCCTAATCCCAATCCCACCCGAAATCAATAATGAAAATGTCAGGAACTGCATCTAGATGCAGCCAACGCAGCGCAGACTCTTCCAGGGATTTTATTGATCCAGCTCCTGACCTACAAACTCACCCTTTTGGAATTGTGCAACAGATTTTATACTTGCAAATTACGCAGCAAAATAATTGAAGTATGAATTATGCATTTTAGAAACATACAATGGGGTTTTACTGGATTATAACAGTTGTATGCATGTATAACTTACGTGTGTTACATTTATCAGAAAACGGCAAAACCATAACTCGAAACCAAAATAAAATCCCGAAACCGCACTAGTACCTACACGACAAATTTTGAAAAGTCTGGATCGAAAATCATAATGTTTTTTGAAATTTGTGATTGTTCTATTGGCAAAACTAAGGTTGCACAACCGGCCGCCGACGATGCTAGAATGAAAATGGAAACCGGTTGGCTATGGCTGGGGCTGTGGGGAATAACAGGGGGTGCAAGGTCAAAACCGATGCACTTCCCCACCCCTTCGCACTCCCTGCATGCGCTGCATAGCCTACCCTTTCCCAAATAGCTACAGATCAAAACCTGGATGGAGCCAGAAATACGGGGGGGTACATAAAACAACTAAAAAAGTTCCAACAAATAATATAGAGCTTGGAATTGGGATTGAATGAGATTGTTCACAGATTTGTAAACTTTTTTCAGATATAGAATAGAATATGAAATGCCTGGCATTCGGTTAATTGATTTCAATCAATATTTGCATAATTTTCCAGAAATATCCCTGGGCAATCTGGGATTCAGTAATGGTTGTTAGGGATACGACCCTGGATGTCAGCCATAACAGGCACGTTCCAGTGCACGTAGGTAGGTGGGCCTTGTTCAGCGTGGATGTGCAGTGGGAGGAATGGAACATTCCAAAACTTTTATCCAGGGAATGTTTACGATTTTGATTGATATTAGATTACTTTTACAAAACACACAAAAACAGTATTGAGGATAAAATAAAACAAAATGTTAATAAATCTATGAGGCGAATATACGCACAAAATAATAAACCCTGTTGAAATAGGCACCCAGAGGGCGTTTAGGCGCAAATAGATTTACACACGTAATAAATACCCCCCAAGGATATAAGTTTCCTGTAATTTAACAAATCGTCAGGCGTGTAATGGCTTCATTTTCTCGCTTATTGACAGGCTCTACTATTACTTTAATCTTAATTCACGTTTATTACTCTCTATTCAATGATTGATTAGTCTTTGGTTTGGGGGCTTCGTTCGATATTTTGCTAGTCTTACCTGATTTGGGTGCAGCTGCCAGCTTCTCCGTTTTCCTTGTTTTTGTAAATAGCTGAGTTCGCCATGGTTATCGAAAAATTGCGGCGAACAGACTCTGGATTGAGGTTGGGAACTCTCGAAGACTCCCGGTATTAGTCTCAATCGGTTTGCTGGACAAATACCCTGTAATTAAAAATAATTTATAAGCTTGTAATGATTAAATCTTCGGATTTCAAGGCTTTAATCAGCAAAAAAATTACATAGGTAAATGGAAACTGTTTAACTAAAAGTCAGATTGACTCAAACATAATTTATCACATTAGTTTTTTTGGTAATCTTCAACATACTCCGACGATTTTTGATTTCTTTTGGGTCTTTGAAATTTTTCTGTTCTAGCTCCATCTGCTTCAGAATCAGAAAAGTTATCCGCTACATTAGGTTGATTTAGTTCATCATCTTAAATAATTCCAGAAGAGGTTGAGCTATTCGAACTATTCAGAAGAGTGGCATCTCCCCTTGGTGCCAAATGTTTCTCTGAAATGGTAGCTTCTTTCCCTTCATCATATAAGCGGATCCAGGCGTTTTTAGGATTAGCATCTATAAGATCTGCTTCTTCAACTAAAGGATCATATTTGCTTTTCCTATTTTATTTTTTTTACAAGAACTTTCTGTGGTATTGACAACCAAAATGGAATAGATGTGTCACTTGTAGATCTTCTCTGGTATGCAAATAATCTTTCATGAGGTGTGTAGTTAGTGCTGGTACACTGAAGCGAGCCAATCGAATATAATGCATCTGGGAGGACAGTTTCCCATTGTTCAATTGAGTAGTTTCTTGTTTCAAGAGCTAATAATACTGCGTTCCAAATTGTACCGTTATATCTTTCTACTTGGCCATTTCCTTCTGGGTTATATGGTGTGGTACGACTATAAGCTATTCCTCGGGATTGCAAATATTTACTGAGTTCTTTAGATACTGAAGATGGTCCATTATTCCATTCCAAATATTGCAAAAAACTTTTCAAAGCATGTTATGACAGTTGCACTTGTGACATCCGAACAAGGAAAAACAACAGGAAATCTGCTGTATTCGTCCACAATGGTAAGCATGTATTTATGATTACCTTTTGAAGGTAGTGGTCCTTTGAAATCAATATTTGTCGTTCTAATGGTTTTGTAGCTTTAATCAGGTGGCTATTGAAATATTTGTGGAATTTTGTTGCACACTGGACACACTTCAGTCATTTTTCTATTGTACAACTTGCTAAAATTCTCGAGAATGCATCAGGTACTGTGTTTTTATTTCCAGGCCGATAAATGATATCATAGCTGTAGCAAGCTAGTTCAAGTTTCCATCTCATGATTTTCTCATTTTTAATTTTACTAGAGTGTTTTCACAGCCATCAGACCACACACCCACCTCTACCACGTAAAACCCCCCTTCAGCACAGCCATAATACCACTACCCACCTCCACTGTAAACCCCCTTCCGTGAAGCTCCTGAGCACTTTCTTGACTTAAGTGCCCCCAGCTATCAGACCAATACCCACCTCTTGTACGTAAATGGTCCACCAGATTCACAAATTTTGGGGTTGCCCGAGTCAAATTCCCAAAATTTCGATACCGTGAGAAAATCGGTTGCCTTTGATCTGAAATTTTGGGAATTTGACCTAAGCCAACCGTGAGAACTTTTTCGATACCGTGGGAAAATCGGCGCCTTTGAACTGAAATTTTGGGAATTTGACCCGGGTCAACCCCAAAATCTGTGAATCTGGGTGAACCATTTACGTAGAAGAGGTGGGTATTGGTCTGATAGCTGGGGGCACTTGAGACAAAAAAGTGCTTAGGAGCTTCACGGAAGGGGGTTTATAGTAGAGGTGGGTAGTGGTATGATGGCTGTGCTGTAGGGGGGTTTTACGTGGTAGAGGTGGGTATGTGGTCTGATAGCTGTGAAAACACTCTACTTACTAGAATGTTTAGTATCAAACGTAAACGAAACTGCTTACTGATCTGTCACAAGTTTGAAATGTCGTCCCATTAGATAGAGTCTCCAGTTTCTTAACGTTTCTACACATGCATGCGCTTCTTTTTCTTTCTGATTCAGACAAGGTCCTTGAGAAAGAAGCTACAGATTTTCCTGATTGGCTCAGAGTCGTGGCTATACAGAATTCTGATGCATCAGTTTCCGCAACTAAAGTTTTATGTCCATTTATTGACCAAAGGAGTGAGTTTGCAATTTCTGTCTTTATCGTTTCAAAATCCAGGATTTGATTTGCTAGTAAAGGAGAATAGTTACAGCTGGCGAGACTTTTGATTTTGTTTGAAAAATTCTGTATCCATTTTGAATAATAGGAGAACATTCCTAGTACTCTCTGAAGTTCACTTGTGCTCTTGGGTACCGGTAATTCAAAAGTGGCGAAAATCTGTCCAGATCGGGTTTCATAGATCTGTTTTCTAGAGTAGCCTAAGATATTGATTGATTCTTGAGCATATGAACATTTATTTTGATTCAGTGTAAGTCCACGTTTTCTGACGGCTTCTAGAAATTTCTTCAAATTTTCATCATTGATTTTCGCCACACACGGTTACATCAACCAAATAAGCATAAACGCGTGCCAATTTTTCTTCTGAAATTATTAAGTCAATTACCCTTTGAAAGCAAGCATCTCCATTTGTTACACCAAAAGGTATTCTTCGGAACTGATACAACTTACCAGCAGCTTCGAATGCAGTGTATGGTTTATCCTGTTCTTTGCTGGGCACTTTTCAAATCAATTGTGCTAAATACTTCATATTTCGAAATCTTATTGACTTATGTTTCAACTTATGGAAGCGGATAGGCGTCTAGTAGAGTAAATTTGTTGATGGTCTGTAAATAATCTATACACATACGACGTTTGAGATTTTCATTGTGAGTGACTAAAACTTGAGCTCGCCATAAAGAATTGCTTTCTTCAATAATATTTTCTTCTAAAAGTTTCTTGATTTCCTGCTTTATAAATTGTTCATCCTTAGCTGAGTGTCTGCGTGATTTGGTGATGATAGGTCTACAATTTGTAGTGAGATTTGAAAATAAAGATGGTGGTTCATCAAACAGCAAATTGATAAGGGAGGTTTGTCCCTTCCAAACTGAACTTCTACACGACAGTGCTGTTTCATGATATCATGACCAATTACAATATCGGCACACAGATTAGAAAGTACAGATATTTTGTGAAAAATGAAGGCTACCAATGAAAAATAAAAATCATAATAAAAGATGCGTTTCCAATAGAGTTAGGAACGTGTCTGCACTAATAATGGGAGCATATTCTTAAAGCTAGGCCAATTCTATGCATACCAACGTCAACTAGCAATGGAAAAATCTGGAAATTTTCCTTGAAAAGCTATCAACAGCCATATATGGAGGCAGCGTTGCCAGATAAAATAAAAAAATTCGTGAAAATCGAGAAAGAAAAATCAAGAGAAATCGTGAAACTAAAAATTGCCTAATGTTAAAAGAAAATGAAGCACAGCAATGTTCTTTTATAGATTTTTGATAAAGTAAACATCATTTTAAATTCATAAGAAATAAACATTTTATTATTAAATCTCTTGTATCCATGTATTTTCCGTTTTTTAGCAGGTGTTTCTGAGCCTCGTTTTCACGTTCACTATCCGCAGGATCGCTTATAAGGCGTACATTCGCCAATTTTCGAATCGGCAGCAGGTCTGCGAAAGACGTCACCACTATCAGCAGCTGATAGTAGGTCAGTTATCCTCCACTAGTGCACAATAATTTACACTTTTTTGCACTGAGGCGGTTGTTATACGGTTAGTGCAAATAGTGTAAGGCGTTTTTTATTTCAGTGTAGGGTGCCCAATCTTGCACTACCTACACCTGCTCGAGAGGAGGTGTAACAAGTGCAGAATGAAGAGGGGGCAACAGTATTTTAAAACTTAACGAAGCTGTCTTCAGGGTTGGAAGATAGGGAATCTCCATCTTCCTCTATATATAGTTTCCGAAAATAAAACCTTGTAAATTTTGTTCTTTTCATTAATATTATACACAATTTTTTGGAGGTTAGAGAACTATCCGCTCCTATAGCTGTACGAACTGCACTAACGCGTTTGGTAGTTTTCCTTTAACCTGGTGCCAGTGGTGCCCATCAGCTACAAGCTACACCTAGCTGCACCAGCAGTCTGCACTGACCTATCCTACACGTAAATAACAAACAGACTAGTTTCAGTGGTGACGTCACTCGCAGACCTCGATGGATTGCTTGCGATTCAGATTGTACTTGTGCTTAATTGTTTCTTCGATTTTAAATTTAGAAAAGGTTATTTTAACGTTTGGGAATTCGTTTTTTTGACCTATAGTGTTTTAAAACTCGGATAATGGATTTTACGCTAAGAGTTGAGGTCTGAAACTGACATGGCAGACACTTGACACTTTCAGCTCAAGCTCAATAAACAGTCCTATTAGATAAAGTTTTCTTGGGCGGGCGGCGCGCATGTACCAGGAGAGGCGTAACATAACTGGCTACATATGGAGAATTCGTAAGAATTGCTACCTCATTCGTAAGATCGTGAAATTCTGTCCAAAATCGTGTAATCTTACGAATAATCGTGAGATCTGGTAACACTGTATATCGAGCTCGAGCAACAAAAACTATCATTATGAGCGACCTAAAGTCCAAAATTAACAATACAGAGGACTCTAGAAGTTGATCATGTTTCTTTTCTATTCCAGGCTTTTGAATGTTCTTTATTCTTTTATAAAAAGAAATTTAGAGGGAAACAGAAAATCAATAGCCTGGAATAATCAAAGATTGACATTGAAGAAAAGAGAAATGGAAATGGAGAGGAGAAATTTAGGGAAAATTGATCATTTTTCTTTTCTATTCCAGGCTTTTGAAGGTTCTTTATTCTTTTATAGAAGTAAATTTAGAGGGAAACAGAAAATCAAGAGCCTGGAATAATCAAAGATTGACATTGAAGAAAACAGAAATAGAAATAGAGAGGAGAAATTTAGGGAAAATTGATCATTTTTCTTTTCTATTCCAGGCTTTTGAATGTTCTTCATTCTTTTATAGAAAGAAATTTAGAGGGAAACAGAAAATCAAGAGCCTGGAATAATCAAAGATTGACATTGAAGAAAAGAGAAATGGAAATAGAGACGAGAAATTTAAGGAAAACTAAATGCAAAATTGGTAACATCAAATCAAATACAGGGTGAGTCCGAAATAAGTGCGCATTTTGTTATGATAGATAGAGTAGAGTAGAAAAATCACTTTTTGCATAGGTACATGTCTCCGCAAAAGTCTCGTTAAGAAAATACAGAGTGTTGAAATTTTCGGAAAATTATGTTTTTTACTCCGTTTTTTTAGAAAGATGCTTGAGAACATCGCGAACACTCTCTGAAAATTTGAACAAAATCGCTCAAGGCATTTTGAATTTAAAGGCAAAAAATCAAAATTTTCCGAAAATTTCTACACTCTGTATTTTCGTAACGAGGCGTTTGCGGACACACGAACCTATGCAAAAAGTGATAGTCCTATATCTATCATAACAAAATGCGCATTTATTTCAAACTTACCCTGTATATGCAATTGTAGATACATCTTTGAAGATGTTACACTTAGGCTAGTTTCACAAACAGCGATAACCACAAGACAGTGGTAACTTTTAATATATCTGTTTTATAATGTGTAGTTTGGTCAAGCTTCAGATTATTTAACCCAGGTCTGTTTTTGCAAACTTGTGGCCAAATGGTAACTATTAGTTTGATAACCAGTGCAGGCTACCACCAAATTATGAAACTGGGCCTTATTAAGTTATTAACAGATTTACTCATACCAGGCAGTGATCACAGAGTTCTGATCTTAGAGCTACAATCAAACTCACACAAGTTAAAGTTATCAAAGCTGGTGGGAGGAAATTAGGTACTAGCTGACGTTACGTCAGTCACGTTATGGCGCCTGTGTGTTAAATAGACCTTGCAAATGCTTTGTTTGTCCCCCCAATGGAAATAAGGTTATGTGTGTAACGTCAGCTAGTGCCTAATTGAAATAACTAATAACTTTTGAATTAGGTTCAGGTTCCCTATATTAAATATTCCACAAACGTCATATAGACCTGATAATTAAAATAATCACTAGTATACCTAATTTTAAATTAATTGGTTTCTTGAGTACCTACATACTTATTTATTCTGGTACCTAAATCATTTGATTGTTAAACGTTTGTGGCTCGCTTAGGTGAACAAACAAACTACCTCAGAAATTCATACATGATAAAATATTGCATCACTAGATAAGTAGTTTATCTCCATATAAAGTAAAAATCCACTATAGCTCAAGCGCAACCTAGGCCACAAGATATAAATAGAAACACGGCATTTCCATCGCAGCATATTTCAACACGACCAGCTTTAACTCGCCGGAGGCTCACTTTTCAACCAGCTCATTTCTGAACATCAATCTATCTCTATAATGGTTATGCATTTTGCAGGTATTGGCCATGAAAATACCAACTCTGACATTGGCGCCTATTAAACACCGCGCATCACAGACTGATGGCAAACGCACAACCAGTGGCATTTAGTCATTATAGTTGTTGACATCTGTTATGAACCAATAAGATAACACAGTGATTATAGGAACATTTAATTATATCTCTAATTTTCTATTATATTTACTATGTATTTTGCAGAGAGGCCTGACCATGCCTTGTCGGCTCAATATGGCTTTACCTTTCGGACCCTTGTTTTATATCCCTCTATTTTCATAAACTGTTAAATTGTCGGAATGATGTCCAATAACTATTTACGTGCCCGAATAGGGTTTAGTTTTTATTATTGTATAAACTTCCCAAAAAAAATCCCAAATCATTAAATATTTTAGCACCAATATAAGTAACATCTGTAAAATAGCGTTAAGGTACTTTCAGTGAATAACTAGAGGAACTCCCGCCCTTTCGAAGGAGGTTCCAGGACGTTTCCTTCTTTCAGGAAAGAAGACGAGAAGACATTCAGAATTCCATCTTGACTCTGACAACATCTAAAGTAACCTCTCATAACTGACAAAGTGTCCTTCCCAAAACTTATAAATTTTCACAAATAAACGAAACCTTTTTTTATTAAATCAAAAGATATAGTTTTAATTCTAGTGTAGGTATATTTGGGATAAAAGTCACAGTTCTTGTGGCTCAACTCCTAACACATCTGATACCAGATAAAATTAATAACACATGTCAAACAAAATGGACGCGAGTGACAAGTCGATATGCAAAGCAGATGAAACCGAAAAAAATCCCAACTTGGAAATTGCACAATTGAAATTCCTATTGGCATTGCCTGAGTTTGCCGATGACGAAGCGAAGTCGACAAGATTACTTCAATTTATTCAAAGGGACAATATGGCGCCTTATTATGAGATTGTTTGTACAGATTTAAAATGGGAGGTCGATAATTCAATGCTGGAAGTAAGATTCAAGACAATAATTGTCAATGCATGTATAAGAATTGTTTTTTTAGGTAATGAAAGATGACAATATGAAAATTTTGCTAGAGTTTGATACGGAAATTGACTATGCGTGTAATAATTTGGGATCCATCGATATAAAAGAAGCATATTTGAATAAGGCTTACTATTTGAGCAAAATTGGTGATAAGGAGCAAACAATCCAAACTCTTAGACAAGCGTATGCAAATACCATTGCATTGGGTTATAAGTTGGATAACTTATTCCACTGTATTCGAATTGGGCTATTTTTCAATGACTTAGAACTGATTGGGAGGAATTTGCTGAAGTGCGACGAATTGATTGAAGAAGGTGCAGATTGGCATCACAGAAACTGTTTAAAGATATATAAAGGTACCTAATCGATGTGTCAGTTTCGCAAGAAATTTATTCACCTAAGAAGTCATGAGTGAGAAACGCGGAATTGTTACGCTAAATTGGTCACGCGTTTTTCTCCAGCGCCAGCGACCTGGGATCTATAAATATTTAAAACTGATTTAAGTTTCCGTTATAAAAGTCTCGTAAATATTTTGTATCCTGCTGGTGTTGTAAATAGAAATTCCTTATTGGATTATAGGCTAAAATCAACTTGTATTATACAATTACAATGAATCCTCAGGGATTTATTAAGTTATCCTGCTTAATTCTTCCTATAATCTTCCAATGCTTTTCAGTTCTATCTGGAAATGAGTACCTATTCAAAAAAGTTTGGGGAATGTAAAATGTTGACTCTAGGTGCTCTTGCTTGTAATTTTGGATTGCGAGTTGTTTGAGGTTCAAATGATTCAGGAGTTCACATGCAGAGTGAAAACCATTTTTAACTAATTTTAAAGCCTTTCATCTTAAATCTAGATGAGTGAAGGCGTTTTGAAGAAAAATCAGAAACTGATCCTTGTTTTGCCCTTTAGATTAGATTGTGTTAGGGGCGTTTAGGTGATAGACCACTCTGCACTGCGACCTGAATAGATCTATTGTGCTTCCCCTTTTTCTAGTAGGTTCCCAGGTTGAGACTTTGCGAATCTCACGATTTTTCCGGGATTGGTTCTTTAACATCCGCAGCAGTCAAATGTGTCTGCTCCAAATGAATGAGTCTTCTGTGACATTATGCTTCGCATTTGCAGAGTATGAACGGATGCTTCTTTGCAGAAGCGGCAAAGGTCTGATTCAGCTTTACCCAGCATCTTTTTCAGGTGGTAGTCAAGAGGGCAGTGGCCGGTGAGGAGACCCGTTAAGAGCGTCAAGTCTGGTTTGCTGAGTTCGAGTAGTTCCTTTGCCTTTGTTGACTTTGGCGAGATGACTTGCTTCGCCTGTCTAAGTCCTGGAGTATTGTTCCAATGGGAGGCCTGTTGTGCCTCTACTCATTTTTTGAGTTCGGTCCTTACAGGGTTTTCTGTCAGGCCAAAGAAGGATTCTGGACCGGAGAATGATGATGCGGCGCCTTCTCTTGCAAGCCGGTCCGCTATTTCATTTCCTTCTATGTTTTGGTGCCCTGGTACCCATGCTAGAGTGACTCTATTGCAGTTCGCCAGTTGCTGACAGTCCCAGACTAGTCTGGATTTAGTGACAAAGCTGTTAAGAGCCTTAAGTGCTGCCTGACTTTCAGAATTGATGAAGATTTTTGCACCTCGTAGGTCTATTTCAAGACACTCTCTAGCGCAGAGTTCTATTGCGTACGTTTCCACTTAGAATATGGTGGGGTTTTTTTCCTAAGGCTACCGATAGCCTGCAGTTTGAGCCATATACGCCCAATCCGACCCCTTCTTCTGTTTCCGATCCATCTGTCTAACAAATGGATGAACCGTTTGGGAATTTATGTACGATCTTGTCACTTCTGCAGCCTTCTGCGGTCACACTAAAAAGGTGATTAAATTCGTATCTGGGTCCTTATTCTTGAAATAGGGGAGCAGCGTTCCCAGGAGAACGAAGAATGATAATATAATTAACAAAGACAGAACACTCGTTCTCCTGGGAACGCTGCTCCCCTGTTTCAAGAATAAGGACCCTGGGTGGCATGATGTCCACCGGTTTTCTTGGTGTACCATAGCATTCTTTAATGATGCTCATATGTCCAACAAGGTCCGCTTCCTTTAGGTTTAGACTGTTTAGAGACCGTATAGCCCTTGAGGCCCCCATGTAGGCCTCCCTCCTCACTGCAATGTGCAGAGGGATGATATCTAACATGACCTCTAACCGTGCGTTCGGTATTTTGATCTGAGTTCTCTGAGCATAAATTTACCGTTCGTTTATTTAAAAAGTGTATTTGGTGCAGGCTCATTCACGTTCGTTTATTAAAATTTCGAGCCCTCTGATACAGTGTTTAACTGCTCTGTGCGCTCGCTGGTCACGTGATTACGACTCCGCTCTGCACGTTTGAGCAAAATACCGAACGCAAGGTATAGCAGCGGTTGGACAGGTGTTCATGGCACCTGCTATTCCAAAACATGCATACCTTTGTACAACTGCCAATCGGTCTTGCCCTGTCTGCTGCTTCACTTTTGGTCACCACACCAATGCAGCATATGTAGGGTCTTATAATCATCGTATGTAACCAATAGATCATTTTTGGCTTTAGGCCCCATGTTTTACCCGAATAGTCTTCGGCATGTCCAGTACGCTACTGTTGCTCGATCGATTATACTTTTTAAATGTGAGTTCCAGGTGAGCTTTTAATCTAGGACAACGCCCAGATATTTGACTTCACTTGAATGGCCTATTTGTATTCCATCCAGTGTTGGAGCTATTAAGTTGAGCTTCCTTTTCCTTGTAAATGGTACAATTATCGTCTTGCTAAGATTCACCCTTAGGCCCTCTTGCAAGAACCAGCTTTTGAGGGCATTCTGCGTGAGTTCACCAATGATCCTATCATGCTTGCCTTTAATGATGACTGTTTTATTTAATAAATATTCACTTTATACGTTCAATAGAATAAATCTTTATTTCTCAAAAGGGTAACATAATTACATATTTTTTGTCATGTTGTATGACACCCGTCATAATCGTTCTGCACCTGCAGGTGACCATGTTATTGCGTTATGTTACATCCCCCTTTCTATACTAACAATAAATACTAACTTGAAAGAATACACAAAAAATCTAACCTAATCTCTAAACTTATTGGGCAGTTTAACATGTCTGCCGAAACGAGTAATATAATTGTCGTTAGTCATATTTGGGATATTGTCACAATCAGGTACATTATTATTGTCACTAGCCGAGACTACAATATTTTTGTTTAACGGTACACTCGTATTTTCAACGGTTACACTTGGCTTCAAGCTCACAGATACTATGGGATATCATCTTGATTCACTGGGACACTCTTAATACTATTACTTTTATTTTTGATAACATCATTAGAGCTTGAGCTCAAAGATACTGGGTTTGGATTATTGCGTAAGAAAGATGAGTTACGTCTCAAAATTTTATCAGTATTTTCTCTAACAAAATATGATTGTGGACTTGAATGATTTCCAACAACTTTTCCCGGTACCCAAGACTGACCTTTTTTAATTATGATACTTTGTCCCTTTGTGGAATCATTTCTTTCTTTTGCGTGTTTATCATAATATTTTTTTTGACTTTGATCGTTGATTTTGAATTTTTTCCAAAGCGATTTGAACATTTTGATTTAGGATTTTGTCAGCAACTGGTAGACTAGATCTTAATAATCTTTCATTCAGCAATTCTGAAAGTGAGACACCGAGACCAGTTAGTGGAGACGTCCTATATTCCAACATAGCCTTATAAAAATCACTCTCAGCAAGCCCATTTGATTTTAGGATATTTTGGAATGGATATAACTAACTCCACATCCCAAGCAATAGCAAACTCTCTAAATTCTCTACTATTAAATGGCATGTTGTCAGAAACACAGGTTTTTGGTATGCCATTTGCAGAAAAAAAAATTCTTAAGATGTATAATAATTTTCCCAGCTGTTTTATTTTCCAAAAGAACCAACTCTAACCAGTTACTAAAGTAATCAATCACAACGAGATAGTCTTTACCGGCATATGTCAAAATATCTGCTGCAACCTTTTGAAAAAGAACTTGTGGCCTCTCATGCTGAATTAATGGATCCTTGACATTATTTCTGCTAAATTTTAAACACGTTTTGCATTTAGATACAAAATTTCCCACGTCTGTTGAGAGACCAGGCCAATAGAATATTTTCCTGGCTCTTGCTTTAGATTTTTCAATACCAAAATGTCCCACATGTAACTTTGTCAACATCTCGGATCTTAATGTCTTCAGAACAACTAACTTGAACTTGTGGTAAAGTAGACCATCGTTTGTGTGTAAGTCTTGTCTAGTTTTGTAAAAAGATTTAGTTTCTGGATTGAAAATAGATTTCTTATTTGATGGCCAGCCCGAGATACAGTATTCAATAATTTGAGTTAACCCGGAATCTTTAGTTGTGGCAGTTTTTAACTCATGGAGTTTTTGTGGAGAGATTGGTAGGTTAACATCTATATACTGTATTACTTCTCTCATCTCATAGCCAAATACTCCTTTTCTATTTGAGCCCACTTACAAGTTCTTCTAGTGCTAGAACAGCCTTGACATACTCAGGATCAGGTCGTACACCATCTACTGAAAAAACCTGACCTATATAGCAAACCTGTGAAACTTTGTATTGTACTTTGGATTTATTGAATTTTACTCCATACTTATCTGCCCGTTTAATCATCTCCGCAAGAATCTTATCATGTTCTTCCTCATTTATTCCCCCTATTATAAAATCATCAAAATATATCCCGATAGGCAAATCTCCAATTATTTTGTCATTTATTTTTTGGAAAACTTCAGGACTCACACTTAGACCAAATAGGAGTCGATTAAAAGAATATTTGCTGTGGTGTTATGAATGTACATAATTTTCTACTTGCATGTTATTGCGTTATGTTACCTGTAAGGTCATCAGCATATCCTAGGACCACAAATTCATGGTCACTTAGTATGTTTAGAAGTTCATCTATTACTATGGACCATAGCAGTGGGGATAATACACCCCCCTGGGGACACCCCTTGACTGCTAGGACCGTCGCTGAGTCGCTTCCAAGAGTTGCTTTGATTTTCCTATCCTGTAGCATGGTTTCAATCCAGGTGATTGTAGTGTCCTCAAAGCATTTGTTTTTTGCCGCCTTCCTTATGGACTCATAAGAGGTGTTATCAAATGCACCCTCTATATCAATGAATGCACAGAGAGCGGTTTCTTGGTTGGAATGTGCCTTTTCAATTCTATTAAGGCTGTGTAGAGCTGTCTCCGTTGATTTGCTTGCTTGATAGGCATATTGGTTTTTGTGGAGCGATTTATCGGTTACGAATTCGCTTCTTATGTGTAAATCAATGATTTTTTCCATGGTTTTGAGGAGAAACGAGGTTAGGCTGATGGGTCTGAACGATTTAGGCTGCGCTGTGGGACGTTTCCCAGCCTTTGGAATAAAAACCACATTTACTTCCCGCCAGCTGATGGGAATGTAACCTAGTAGGTAGCTAGCTTTGAATATTATTGCTAGTGGAGCTATAAGTTCTTCTAAGCCTTGTTGTAGGAGAGCTGGAAAAATGTTGTCTCCTCCTGGTGATTTGTAGGGCTGAAAATTGTTTATAGCCCATCTTGTTTTGTATGAGGTGAATATTTTTCTGGCCAGACTCAGGATGTATAGCTCAGGATGTATAGATTATTGGCATTTTAAACTCAATCCAGAAATCAAGCGAAGTTCAGAGAATCTCGGATTGAAACCATTTTGAGTTGAAAATCAATAAGGTTCTGCTAACATCTCAGATCTTGGGTTTCATCAATTAGCCAGTCAAAATACCGTCAATTATGACATTTATTCTCCCGTGAATAGAATAAGAAACTCTTAATCATTTACGGGACATAGTATATAGTGTATTTCTTTTTTAGGTCTATATTCTCTGGCCAGTAGAAATTTTACCTTGGCATCAGAAGTATTAACAAATGCCATAGCAACTTTTGTTTGCACCGAACTAATTTCATTCGAAGTCTTTATAAAATACGCGATTTTATCGGCCTTGCTGCACCTCAGCAGAAAAGATTTGAAAAAGGAAATTATAACTAACCCCGATGTCCTTCAAGCCCTCCATGAAAATCCGTCATTAAAGGAGTTGGTGTTTTCCTTATATAATTGTAAATATAAAGATTTTTTCAACAGATTAGCAGAAGTTGAGCTAGAGATGCAACACGACATGCTTTTGCAGCCGCATTATAAATTTTATGTAAGAGAGATGAAAATTAAATCGTACGATCAATTATTATCGACGTATATTTCCTTGAACATATCTTATATGGCTCAGCAGTTTGGTGTAACAGATGAATATATTGAAAAAGATGTCAGTGAATATATAGCGGCTAGAAGACTGAATTATAAAATCGATAAAGTCAGTGGCAAAATTCACAATATTTCTAGAGAAAGGAAAGCGGTGATGTTTGAGAAAATTATAAGGCATGGAGATTTACTTTTGAATCGGATCCAGAAATTTAGCAAAGTCATCAACATTTAATATGAGCAATTATTTATGTATACATATATTTTGTAATATATTATTATTGATAAAAAATATGAGCTTCCAATCCAATCTGATCAGTGTGAGATTTTGTGGTTTTGCACAGAACCTTGACCCATAATAATAAATACCAGTAGTTGATTGAATCCCATAACCAATAAATAATTTCCATTGTGATATTTGAAACAATGTGATATATCGTTTATTATAAACGCATACACAGAATGTGTGCCAACAAAGCTTTGGCATTTTTTAAGTAAAATTAATGTATCATGTTTCGAGCTAATAACAGTTCTGATTTTAACTTATATTATAAGGCAAGAGCGGTAATAAATAATTTTCCACGCTTTCGCTTGAGTTAATTGACATTCCAAAAATGGGCTAATATTGCGGCAGTTTAATTTATAGCTGGGTCGATTTTCGTTTTTTTGATCAACAATATTTTGGGCCAGGCCAATAAATATTTCAAGTGCATAACATAAAATGAAAATTATGTTGATAATAATATTGGATAAGAGGTTTTTGTTCAGAATTCATCTTTCATATTGGACTAAACTAATGCTCTAAGGTGCAATATTTGCAGACTACTAACTACAACTTCATAGATAAGTGACTTGTTCTAATGTAATGTAATGTAAGTAAAGCCTTTTTTCAAATTTTACCTGTCTTCCACGTAAAGAACACAACCACCATCCTTCTATATTAGCTGTATTCTGTTCCAAAACTACCAGAGTATCGCCTTTCCGAAATTCCAGCTCGTCTGGAGAATCTGGAACATTGTCGTATAGAGCTCTGGCCAAACAGTGCTGAAACAATAAAGAAATCAAATTTTAATCTCAGCTGCGTGTTATTTTTTTCATATTACACCCTCATCGTTTACAAAACCATAATTTTTTGGGCACACGACCCTCAGACCCCAGGTATTTGACCATTGTGCTACCGAAAATGTGCATACGCCTATTTGCCCTCATAGAGATATAAAGATCGTGCATGCCTCACGTCTAGGTTCAGGTAAAAAAAAACTGTGTATATAAATTGTTTTTTTAGATAAATTGAGGCTCATTTTTTAGCCCAGTTGTTATGCTATGACGTCAATAACGGGCACATATATCAACCATATCTGTAGCAGATGTTTGACATATTCTTCTAATAGTGCATTTTGCACAATATGTAGAATGACGTCTTAGATAGTAAATGTGTTAATATTTATTTTCACGATTGGGGTATATATTCTCGTTAAAAATTTAATTCTGTTGACCATTTTGTGCCTCCTGTACCAACAGGAAGTTGTAAGATTATAAAAACTGCATATATGACCAAATAAACTTTATCATTTACAAATATTGGCTTGGGACTGTAAAATGTAAAACCGCAGTTTATTGAAGTTTTATTGTGTTGGTACAGGAGAAATGGATTTTTATACAACCATAACCCCCTAATTATGAAACATTTTGGTAATATATGGTTTCTATTGAAATATACCCACTAAACCACTACAATATGAATTCAAACAATCTTTATAGAATGATATTATGAAAACATTTCGCTATTAAGATGAAATATAATTCAATTCGAATGGGTTTATATTTTTCAAGTTGGGACCTCTTTGTTTTTCCTTATCCTGACTCAATAAATACCGAGGGGTCAACCACTATTCTTACAAATGTACAATGGTTTCCATAATTGGCAATAACTGATCAATGAATCTAATATGTATTCCCATCCCAAGATTGCCAATGATTCTCAGATATTTTTGTATGATTGCCAGGTGATTTACATTTTTTCTGGGGATTCCTATATATTGATTACCTGATTTTCTCAATGATTTCCTACAATCATCCGATTTCCAGCTGATTTTATAACGAAAACGATGTTTTATTGTTAAGCTTCGCATTGATATGACCAAAATAAACAGTCTTTTCTCTTATAAAAACACGTTTCCACTGAAAAATTGGCAACTTCTGTATTTGCAACTCTTCCAAAAGTTGGCAACTTTTATTTTCAAGGTTGTCCACACTCACACCGATTTTGTTGTGGTATATATAGTTGTTGAGCCCTAGATACCATTGCGTGTCTACACTGCATGATATGGATCTGAAATAATGAATATTCTTTTGATCTACTAGGATGTTCATCTGAATCAGATACCATTTTCAGTTAGGGTTTCACTCGACAAACTTATTTCAGATTCTGATTCAAATGTGCTATCGTCTCTGCTTCTCGCACTCCCTAGTATTTATTCTACTTTCCCTTTTCAAGTTCTTACTCCCTTGAATTTCCAACTTTTTGTTTTGTGTCTTCCTCAGGGACATTCTCATAGCTCCTAATACTCGATCGACAAATGTCCCTGCTTCTCTGAAAAGAACCAGTTACAGTCCTGAATAATCTCCTAATTGTAGCGAATCACAGTTGCTAAACCCTGATGTGTTGAGAAATTCTGTGTTCGGATTCGAGAGATGTTTCAAGATTAGATTCATTTTTATGATCCACAACATTGTCATACTTTAGGTCTGTTCTCACAGAAATCACAAACCAGTCAGAACAAATTTCATCGGTTGAAAATAGTCAGAAAACTGGTTGTTGACGATTTACACAAATCAAAAACGCTCTGACTGGTGTGTGATTTCTGTGAGAATAGATCTAATCTTCATCTCGTTCTTTTTCTTCTTCTTCAAGTTCTAAACTCTTCGTAGTTTCGGGTTCAGTTATCGGCTCAGTTATTGGGAAACTCGTTGGGATATCAAATTTATTTCAAATTGTCTAGCACTCTGTTGCTTGTTGGATATTGAGATACTAGAGTTTGTGCAGAGACGAGAAACAAAGATTCCACCATCACTCTGTATTGAAGATTACCTTATTCGAATATCCACTTTGGAACTCACTTCTTTGAGGGAAAGGCGTCTGAGAGGAGATCTGATCGAGATATACAAGATTATTCGAAATGGCATCTCCTGTAACATTGACATTGACATTGATAACTACAAGAGCGGTTTAAAGGGGGGGCAGAGGGGGTAATTACCCCTCCCAGAAAAAGATTTTTTTTGATACATTTATTAATTACAATAAAATTTCAATAAGAGACAAGTTCTACAAAATAAAGCATTTAAAGGCATTGTATAAATTGATAGGCTCACCAGTACCAAAGTTTGCCAGTACCGACATACCTACTCGTAACTATCGTAAATCCATTAATAATAACTCAATCGCTTTGAATTTTCAGTATTTTTTACATTTGAATCATTAGAAAAAAGTTCTCAAAATTTCAACTTTCCACTCACTTTATTTTTTGAGTGAAAAAACTGTTTATAAAGTCCTTATTTTACAAAACATCATTATTTTAAACAAATCGTAACTCCATTAATAATAACTCAATCGCTTTGAGTTTTTAGTATTTTTTACTTTGAATCATTAGGAAAAAGTCCTCAAAATTTCAACTTTCTACTCACTTTAGTTTATGAGTGAAAAAATTGTTTGTAAAGTCTCAGTTTACAAAACATCATTATTTTCAAAAAATCGTAACTCTATTAATAATTACTCCTTCGTTTTGAGTTTTTAGTATTTTTTACATTGGATCATTAGGAAAAAGTCATCAAAATTTTAACTTTCCACTCACTTCAGTTTTTGAGTGAAAAAATTGTTTGTGAAATCTTACTTTACAAAACATAATTAGATTCAAAAAAATCGTAATTCCATTAATAATAACTCAATCGCTTTGAGTTTTTAGTATTTTTTACATTGAATAATTAGGAAAAAGTTCTCAAAATTTCAACTTTCTACTCACTTTAGTTTTTGAGTGAAAAAATTGTTTGTAAAGTCTTACTTTACAAAACATCATTATTTTCAAAAAATCGTAACTCCATTAATAATAACTCAATCGCTTTGAATTTTTAGTATTTTTTACATTGAATCATTAGAAAAAAGTCCTTAAAATTTCAACTTTCCACTCACTTTAGTTTTTGAGTGAAAAAATTGTTTGTAAAGTCTTACTTTACAAAACATCATAATTTTCAAAAAATCAAAACTCCATTAATAATAACTCAATCGCTTTGAATTTTAGTATTTTTTACATTGAATCGTTAGGAAAAAGTCCTTAAAATTTCAATTTTCTACTCACTTTAATTTTTGAGTGATAAAATTGTCTGTAAAGTCTTACTTTACAAAACATCATTATTTTCAAAAAAACGTAACTCCATTAATAATAACTCAATCGCTTTGAGTTTTGAGTATTTTTTACATCGAATCATTAGGAAAAAGACCCCAAAATTTCAACTTTCCACTCACTTTGGTTTTTGAGGGAAAAAATTGTTTGTAGAGTCTTACTTTACAAAACATCATTATTTTCAAAAAATTGTAACTCCATTAATAATAACTCAATCGCTCTGAATTTTTAGTATTTTTTACATTGAATCATTAGGAAAAAGTTCTCAAAATTTCAACTTTCCACTCACTTTAGTTTTTGAGTGAAAAAATTGTTTGTAAAGTCCTTATTTTACAAAACATCATTATTTTCAAAAAATCGTAACTCTATTAATAATAACTCCTTCGCTTTGAGTTTTTAGTATTTTTTACATTGAATCATTAGAAAAAAGTCTTCAAAATTTTAACTTTCCACTCACTTTAGTTTTTTAGTGAAAAAATTGTTTGTGAAATCTTACTTTACAAAACATCATTATTTTCAAAAAATCGTAACTCCATTTAATAACTCAATCGCTTTGAGTTTTTGGTATTTTTTACATATGATTTTTCCGTCATACATCACCCCCTCCAGATAATCATGTATGGACCGCCACTGGACAACTACGAGGTCATACTAAAATATGAGTGTTTTATTCCAAGTAGATATTCATTATGGAAAATAACTTATCAAAAACATGACAATAAACTTACAACTAATCTTAAGGAGGTATGATATGCGATTTCTGGGTTAGAATGAGATGATATTCCCAGCGATTACCACATGATTCTCACCGATTCCTAGATTATTTCCAGGGAGTCTCAAGTGATTTCCATGTATTCCTGGTTGATTACTATGTAATTTCCACACAAAAAAATACAATGATTTCCACTAGTGGTTTATCCCTCGATAAATACATAGTATATAAAAAACTATTGAAGTGTCTTAATTCTTTGATAAATTCAAATTTTAAATGTCTATAATCTCCTGTGATAGATTATGCAGCTGTCATCAGTCACATGAAAAACTAAAGTAATAAATTGTAGACGAATTAACATATTCACTATTATTTCCTATTCAGTCTGACTTGTACCCCATTGATTTAATTATTAATTCATATGATGTAATTTCATTAGGTACCTATAAATTATTTATGATTAAAGACATGATAAAGTTTTCTGTCAATGAAATAAGGTTTGTAGATTTAAATTATCGTCAAATGAATTTATTGCTTTTTTCATATTGTTGTTGAACTTTTCGGAATCCAGATATCAACAAGTTAGTTAGGTATTTGTAGGGGTTCAAACTGAATAAGCCAACATTGGGTTTTGTTTGACTTTGCAGTTTAGTAGGTATGTATGTATTCTAAGCTGCTTCAGACATAAGTGTCCTTGAAATCAAAAAAACAACTTAGCAATGTTCTATTTTTTTTTCAATAACCACACAGCCCATTCTTAAAAAGTATTATCTAAATATTCCACAATAACCCTAGACCCATATTATAAAATTTTAGGGTTGTCAAAACCAGACACGTGATTGAAATTTGTAAGCACCAGGGTAGAGTTTCAAATTAGTTGCAGCTGCGACATTATAATTTTTCACCCTCAAGTAGGTACTTGTTAATTATTTTTA